TAATAGCAATAAGGTAGAGTCTGCCCATTCCCAGATGGCTTCACTGATGAATTATACCAAACATTTAAATAAGAATCAATACCAGTTATCACAAACTCTTACAAAAAACAGAAGAGGAGGGAACACATCCTGACTCATTTGATGAGGCCAGTATCACCTTAATATCAAAACTAAAGACATCACAGGAAAAGGAAACTACAGATCAATATTCCTTATGAATACAGACACAGAAATCTTCAATAAAACATAAGCAAACTGAATCCAGCAAAATATAGAAAGGATTGTATACTGTGACCAAATGGAATTAATCCCAAGTATGCAAGGCCTTTTAACATCTGAAATCAATTAATGTTTTGTGCCATCTCAATACATGCAGAAAAAGCATTTGAGAAAGTCTAACACCCTGTCATAATTTAAAAACAAAAACAAAACAAAACCTCAATAACTAGGATTAGAAAGGAACCACCTCCATTTGATAAAAGACATCTATGAAAAACCTGCAGATAACATACTTAACAGTGAAAGACTGAAAGCTTTGCACTTAAGATAGGGAATCAGACAAGGAAGTCTGCTCTTGCCATTTCCAGTCAACATTATACTGGGGGTTCTGTCCAGGGTAATTTGGTAGGTAAAAGCAATAAAGATATCTAAGGCCGGGTGCAGTGGCTCACGCCTGTAATCCCGGCACTTTGGGAGGCCAACGTTAGTGGATCACCTGAGGTCAGGAGGTTGAGACCAGTCTGGCCAACATGATGAAACCCCGCCTCTACTAAAAATACAATAGCTGGGTGTGGTGGTGGGCACCTGTAATACCAGCTACTCAGGAGGCTGAAGCAGGAGAATCACTTGACCCCAAGAGGCAGAGGTTGCAGTGAGCCAAGATGGCACCATTGCACTCCAGCCTGGGCAACAAGAGCGAAACACCATCTCAAAAAAAAAAAAAGATACCTAGGTAGGAAAGGAAAAATTAAAACCATCTATATTTGCACATGATGTGATCTGGTATATAGAAAATCCTAAGGCACCCCCACATACAAAAAAAAAACCCATTAGAATTAATACAAGATCAGCAAGTTTGTAGGATATACAAAAATTAATTGTATTTCTATACCCTTGAAATGAACAACCCAGGGCGCAGTAGCTCACACCTATAATCCCAGCACTTTGGGAGGCCGAGGCGGATCACAAGGTCAAGAGATCGAGACTATCCTGGCTCAACATGGTGAAACCCCGTCTCTACTAAAAATACAAAAATTAGTTGGGCATGGTGGCGCATACCTGTAGTCCCAGCTACTCGGCAGGCTGAGGCAGGAGAATTGCTTGAACCCAGGAGGCGGAGGTTGCAGTGAGCTGAGATCGCGCCCTTGCACTCCAGCCTGGATAAGAAGAAGGAAACTCCGTCTCAAAAAAAAAAAAAAAGAAATGAACAACTCAAAAATAAAACTTTAAAAATAAAAATAATGCCACTATATAGCATCAAAGAAAAGAAAATATTTAGAATTAATTTAACAAAATGTCAAACTTTTTTTTTTAACTTGTAGAGATGGGGGGGTCGGTCTCACTATGTTGTTCAACCTGATGTTGAACTCCTGGGCTCAAGCAATCCTCACACTCAGCCTCCCAAAATGTTAGGATTCCAGGCGTGAGCCATTGTACCCGGTCAGAAGTCTCAAACTTAAACTCTGAAAACTACAAAACATTGTTGAAATTCTTTTTTTTTTTTTTTGAGACCGAGTCTTGCTCTGTCGCCGGGCCCCAGGCTGGAGTGAAGTGGCACAACCTCAGCTCACTGCAATCTCCGCCTCCTGGGTTCAAGCAATTCTCCTGCCTCAGCCTCCTGAGTAGCTGGGACTACAGGCACACGCCACCACACCCAGCTAATTTTTGTATTTTTTAGTAGAGACGGGGTTTCACCATGTTGGCCCGGATGGTCTCAATATGTTGACCTCGTGATCCGCCTGCCTAAAGAATTGAAATGGCACCCCACCTCATTTTCATGGTTCAGATGATTTAATATTGTTAATGGGAGGTCATGGCAGGAGGACTGCTTGAGCAGGAGTTCCTGACCACCCTGGGCAACAAAGTGAGACCTCATCTCTACAAATAATAGTAATTTTAAAAAAAATTGCTAAGATAACACTATTCCCAAAATTGAAATACAGATTCAATTCAATTTTTCTTAAAATCCCAACTGACTTCGTTGCAAAAAATGACAAATTGCTCCTAAAGTCTGCATGGAAATTCAAGAGACTCAGAATAGCCAAAACAATCTTGAAGAACAAAGTTCTTCTTTGGTGAGAACAAAAGAACTTACGTGTCTGATTGCAAAACTTACTACAAGGCTATAGTAATCAAGACAATGCTGTATAGGCATAAGAATAGACAAAGATTAGTGGAATAGAATTAAGCACAGAAATTAATCATTATCTTCAGCTAAAAGTTGAGAGATGGGAAAAAACATTTTTAAAAAACCCTTCATGCACAGACACTTTTCAAATGAAGACATTTATGTAGCCAACAAACATATGAAAAAAAGCTCATCATCGCTGGTCATTAGAGAAATGCAAATCAAAACCACATTGAGATGGTAATCTCACACCAGTTAGAATGGCGATCATTAAAAAATCAGGAGACAATAGATGCTGGAGAGGATGTGGAGAACCAGGAACACTTTTACACTGTTGGTGGGAGTGTAAATTAAAACCATAGTGGAAGACAGTGTGGCAATTCCTCAAGGATCTAGAAACAGAAATACCATTTGACTCAGCAATCCCATTACTGGGTATATACCCAAAGGATTATAAATCATTCTGTTATAAAGACACATGCACACATGTTTATTTCGGCACTGTTTATAATAGCAAAGACTTGGAACCAACTCAAATGCCCATCAACAATAGAGTGGATAAAGAAAATGTGGCATATATATATATATATATATATATATATACCATGGAATACTATGCAGCCATAAATAAGGATGGGTTCCTGTTCTTTGCAGAGACATAGATGAAGCTGGAAACCATCATTCTCAGCAAACTGAAAAAGAACATAAAACCAAACACTGCATGTTCTCATAAGTGGGTGTTGAACAATGAGAACACATGGACACAGGGAGGGGACCATCACACAAAGGGGCCTGTTGTAGGGGTGAGGGGGGTAGGGGAGGGATAACAGAGGGTGGGGGGATTGGGGAGGGATAACATTAGAAGAAATACCTAAAGTAGATGACGTGGGCACGGATGTAGCAAATCACCATGGCACATGTATACCTATGTAACAAACCTGCAGGTTCTGCACATGTACCTCAGAACTTAAACGTATAATAAAAAAAATTTTTTTAAACTCTTCATGCTTATGATCAGCTAATTTTTGACAAGGATGCCAAGACTATTCAATGGGGAAAGAATAATCTTTTCAACAAATGGTGTTGGCACAACTGGATATACACATGCAGAAGAATGAAGTTGGACCCCATCTTAAACTATATACAAAAATTAAATAAGTAAAAGACCTAAATGTCAGAACTAAAATTATAAAACTCTTAGAAGAAAATACAGAGGCAAATATTTGTGACCCTGGATAGTGGTTTCTAAGATACTATACCACCAAAAATACAAACATTCAGGAAAAAATTGAAAAAATCAATTTCATCAAAGCTAGAACTGATAACTTACTGAATGGGAGAAAATATTTAAAAATTATATGTCTGATAAGGGACAAGTATCTAGAATATATAAATACCTTTACAACTCAATAATAAAAAGACAGATGACCCAATTTAAAGATGGGCCAAGGAGCCAAACAGACATTTATTCACAGAAGATATATGAGCAGTCAATAAGCATATAAAAAGATACTATCATTAGTCATCTGGGAAATTCAAATTAAATCACAATGAGATATCACTTCACCTCCACTAGGATGGCTATAATCAAAAAGATAATAACCAGTGTTATTGTGGATATAGAAATTTTGGAACACTCATCTTGCTAGTAGAATTGTAAAATGGTATAGCCACTTTGAAAACTGTTTGAAAAACAGTTTGGCAGCTTCTTAAAAAGTTAAACATAAAGTTACCAGATAACATGACAATTCCAGCCGGGGGTGTGGCGGCTCATGCCTGTAATCCCAGCACTGTAGAAGGGCTGGGCGGGATGTTCACCTGAGCCCATGAGTTTGAGACCAGCCTGAGTAACAGAGACCCCATCTTAGAAAAGAGAGAAGAGAAGAGAAGAGAAAGAAAGGAAGGAAGGAAGACAGAGAAGAGAGAAAAAAGAAAGGAAAGAAAGAAAGGAAAGCAAGGAAGAAATGAAGGAAGGAAGGAAGGAGGGTAGGAAGGAAAGAAAGAAAGGAAAGAAAGAGAAAGAGAAAATAAATTCCACTTCTAGGATGTACTCAAGAAAATTGAAAGCTTATGTTTACACAAAAACTTGCATATGAATATTCATAGCATAATGATTAATAATAGCCAAAAGTATAAATAATGCAAATCCCCAGCAACTGATGAGTGAATAAAGTATGGTATATCATACAATAGAATATTATTTAGGCCTAAAAGGAACTAAATGCTAATATGTGCTACAATGTAAAATTAACCTAGAAAATATTATGCTAAGTAAAAGGCCATATATTGTATTACTCCATTTATATGAAATGCCTTCAAACCCATGGAGATACAAAGTAGATAGATAGTTGCCCGAGGCTGGAGAGAGGGGACAATGGGAGTTACTGTGTTTCATGGGTAGAGTTTCAGTTTGGGAAGATGAAAAAGGTCTGGCTATGAGATTGTGGTGATGGATGCACAACAATGTGATGTACTTGGTATCACTGAACTATATACCTAAAAATGGTTAAAATGGTAAATTTTATGTTTATATATATTTTCCCACAATAAAGAATTATTTTCACAGAAAAAGGAGAGAAAGAGAGAGATGAATTGAATGTGGCAAAATCCTAATAATGGAAGCTGGATGATGGGCACATAGTTAATTTTTTAAAATATTCTTCTCTCTAATTTTGTTTGAAAATTTTTCATAACTAAAAACATAATATGGAGACAGGCAAAAATAGATGTCTTCTTGATGACAATTCAGCCTGATGGGGCAAATACACGGAAAAACTTGTTGCAAAACAAATAACAAACACAGCTTTGACCATGCCTTTCTCCTGCCTGAAAGCCCTCCGAGAGCATCTTATCACCTACAGGGAAAAAACTAAGACTCTCTGTGACCCTCTCCTCTGCTCACCTTGCTACCCTCATCCTGCTTTTCCCTGACTTCCATTTCTTGAGCAACACCAAATCCCTTGTAAATTCCGCAAACAAGTCCTGATCTGTGCCATTCTTCATGTCATATAACAATGCAGTCTCCCTCCCTCTGCTTAACCTCTCCTTAAAAACTGCCTTGATCACCACCTCCTCCAGAGAGTATCTTCTGACCCCAGGTTGAACTGTCCCTCATCTGTGTTTCCATAGCTCACTGTTCATACCTTATCATAGCATCAAACACACCAGATTGAAACTACCGAATTTGTACACATGCACATACACATTCAGATCCCAAGAACCTAGAAACTGGTATATCAAAGACATTCTGTAAAGTCTGTGAAGGAGTTTCTGTGCCAGGGAAAGCTCCACTAACTGTTAAACTTGTTAGGTATTTCTCCAGCTTTATGAACATTTTATGTCAGATATACCTGCAGAGACCACTTCAAGTTTACTTTTGCTCTAGGCTGAAAACAGTATACCTGAGGAAAAACAGCAACATGACTTACACCTTTAAAAATCTCCACTTTTAGTTTTCACCTAAACAGTGCAGATAATTTTGAGTCTGCAAGGCTTCTGAAAAAGAGCAGTGGATGCCACGTGCTTGGGGGTGGGGGTTGGAGAGGCGGAAATGGGCCTTAGTGTGACTTAATGTCTAAGGATACAAAGTTTCAGTTTGGGAAGATGAAAAAAAAAATTCCTACCCATTGCCACCCTCCAGTTCCCATCTGAAAAGACAACACTTTCATGGACAGCTCTATTCTCTGTGTTTTGTTTTTTTTTTAACCTCAACATTTAAATATACTACACTGATATTGCCTTATTTCTTAATCTCAAGAGAATGTGTTGACTTCCTGACAAGGTAAATGAAGTTTTGGCTCTTCCTATTTCCACATCCTTCACCCTCTCCACGCTTTGCCAACACAGCGTAGTTACAGCACAATTTTTGGTGAAATCAGAAGCCATTTTTTTACATTACCAGTACAAATATTATTATCTGCCTTGATAGACTGTACATTTTACACAATCCTTTATTTTTCTTGGAGTTGGTGATTGCCTTATTTCAGTCAGTTGCTTGTTATTCTATACAATTTGTTAATTTTTTTCCACTAAGGGACTCTCTGGCATCAGAGTCTTTTGCCTCATTTTAATAGATTCCAACATTCCATTTCCATTTTTCTCCTAGAGACTTCCCACTCTGTCCTCCTCCCACTTTGGGTGGGCTGCTTTTCAGGCCTGCTGCACAGCTGCCTTTTTGTTAATTGTGGTAAAATATGCATAACAAAATGTATCATCTTAACCATTTTGACATGTACATTCAGTACATACCTAAGTGTTAAGTACATTCACACTGTTGTGCAACCATCACCACCATCCATCTCTGGAACTCTTCTCATCTTGCAAAACTGAAATTCTGTACCTATGAAACAATAACTCCCCATCCCCACCTCACCCTAGTTCCCAGCATCCATCATTCTCCTTTCTGTCTCTGTGAATTTGACTACTCTAGGTACTGCATGTAAGTGGAACCATACAGTATATGACCTTTTGTGACTGGCTGATTTCACTTGGCATGTTCTCAAGGTTGATACACATTGTAACATTTATCATATTTCCTTCCTTTTTTGTACACCTGTCTTTTGTACCTTTCTGCACTGCTCTCCTTCTTAGATCCACTTAGATCACTTTTGTTCCACTTTCTTGCTTTACCTGTCCATTTTGCTAGAGGTCCATAACCTCCATTATCTTCTTAAATAAAGCGAATATGAGGCTGGGTGCGGTGGCTCATGCCTGTAAAACAGAGACTGTCTTTTCTCAAAGATCTACTCACAGCCACACAAGGCGTCTCCTTGCTGTGTGAGGTATATTGTCCTATGTATGGCCTATTTCTTGCAGCATCATTGAGCTGACAACAGACCTCATTTTGAACTTCCACATGTGGCATCTCTTGAAAAATCTGTAGCTGTGGCAATACTGAGCTTGCATTTCCTCATGGTAGCCAAGTTATGGCTGCCACCAGTAAAGGGAATTTAGAGACAATGCTTGCAAAGCTCCTACCCATAAGCCTGGTAAAACACTTACTCAACAAATAGAAGTTGTTCTTTTTCATGGTATTACAGTTACTCAAAGGTTCAGAATTTAAAAGGGTTCAGGCAAAAGGGGGAGCCAGACTTCATATTTGTAGATTGGCTTTGATTTAGGGGTTTTGAAAAAATACCGTTGAGTTGCCATTCTTGGCAATGAGCTTGTATGTACAGTAACAGCTGTTGATCCAAGCCAATCTACAAATGTATATATGGCACCTGGCTATGAGTATGGAACCTGGAGCTGGATTGCCTGGATTTGAATCCTGGCTTTACCACTCTCAGGCTGACTTTTCTTTTTTATGTCTGTGTTTTCTCATCTCTAAAATGGGGATGATAATGGTACCAACATACCTTGAATTTTGAGTTAACATATATGAACCAGCTTAGCGTATTAGGCACATACTAAACATTACATAAATGTTTGCTTTTATTTTTTCAATACGCTTATATGATAGGCTCACTTTACTCAGCATAATATTAAGCACATACTAAACATTATATGAATGTTTGCTTTTTATTTTTCAGTAAGCTCATCCTTGAGTACATTGTTTTCTTTGGGCTACAGAAGGCTCACTGGTTGAAAAGATACATTTGTTTTCTTGGTTGTCATTCCGGTTCCTTTTTTTTTTGAGATGGGTCTTACTCTGTTGCCCGGGCTGAAGTGCCATAGGGTGATCATAGCTCACTGTAACCTTGAACTCCTGGGCTCAAGGGATCCTCCTGGTTCAGCCTTCCAAGCAGCTGGACTACAAGCGTGCATCACACTAGAATGATTTTATTATTTTTTCATAGAGAAACAGAGTTTCATGATGTTGCCCAGGCTGGTCTCAAACTCCTTGCCTCAAAAGATCTTCCTGCCACTTGAGCCTGGGAAGTTGAGGCTGCAGTGAGCCACGACTGTATCACTCCATTCCACTCTGGTCAACAGAGTGAAACCCTGAAAAAAAAAAAAAAAAGATCCTCCTACCTTGGCCTCCCAAAGCACTGAGATTACAGGTGTGAGCCACTGTGCCTGGCCCCTGATTCTTCTTGTTAATGCATAAGTCCTGTTTCAGGTATTATGAAATCAAGTGACCATCCCACAGGAAACTGACACTGAAATTTAGCCACCATTCTGATACAAGGGACTCTCTGCAGGAGGACGGTAGGGGACTCTGCCAAGAACAAGTCTAACCTGTTTAAGTTTGTCTCTTTTTTCTATCTGTATCTCCTCCTACCATCAACTTTCTTCTTCGGCCTCCAATCCAGATCTTTTCTCTTTCTCTTGGCTGCTGCTTTCTCATGATTCCTCTTATTCCTTTGGCTTGCCCAGGACTCCAGTGGCCTCACTCTGCCTTATGACTTTTCAATCCCAATCATCATGGCCAACTGCTTCACTTCTGATTTCCCAATTCAGATTCCCAAGAGCATGAGTCTGTAAGAGCAAAGATTTTTGGTCTGGCAGCCTCCTGGACCAGTGGCTAATCTATAGCCTGGTTACTCAAATAGTTGTCCTACCCTGGCTAGTATGCAGGGAAAGCTAGGTAACAGGGCTACAAAATCCCACAGCCTAGGCCTTCTAGGATGGCTTCCATAGGATGTACCTGCTGGCATACACATGAAGAGTCAGGTGTGAATGCCAGGCAAGTAGATAGGCCCTATCCAGGGGGTCTCCAGAGAAGAACCAATAGGAGATAGAGATATAAGAGAACATTTAGTATGAGAATTGGTTCATATGATTAGAGAGGAGTCCCACGATCTGCAGTCTGCAAGCTGGAGAACCAGGAAATCTGGTGGTGTAATTCAGTCTGAGTTTGAAGGTGTGAGAATCAGGGGAGCTAATGGCATAACTCCCAGTCCAAGACTGAAGACCTGAAAACTGACGATGAGTGCCCAAGTCCAAAGCCAGAAGAACAAGAGTTTTGATGTGGTGTAAGGGTAGAAGATGGATGTCCCAACTTGAGAGAGTAAAATCCCCTTCTTCTGCCTTTTTGTTCCTTTTCAGTCTTCAATGAATACGATGATGCCTGTCCACATTGGTGAGACCAGATCTTCTATTGATTCAAATCCTAATCTGTCCTGGAAACACACAGACACACCCAGAAATAATGTTTTTCCAAGCTATCTGGGTGTCCCTTAGCCCAATCAAGTTGAGTCATAAAAGTAACCATCACCTGTTTGCCATCTTTCATTTAAGCCCAGATACACACACTGGCTATCTCAGCCATTCCTTGGGTAGCACATCCAAACCTGTCTGTTTCCTCTCAGTCTCTCCTTTGCCTTGTGACAAATAGGTTTTGGAAGCAGTTGCCTGTGGTCACCCTGAACTTGTGCTTTTAAGAGTGGCATGCCACTTACTCTGTGTGGCCTAATGCACTAATTCCTAATCCCTCCCTGATCCCAGTGTAAAGTGTGGACACCAGTACATACTCAGCCTCACAGAACTGACTGGTCAGGTGCACTCATCCCCAGGTACGCGGCCACCGGTCACTGACAACTACAGACCGACTCTCTGCCACCCAGATCAAGTGCCCGGATGCTAATGCCCCATACAGCCCGGCATCCCACCCCCAACCCCCGCATCCTCAGTCACTCACACCGGTGAGAGACTACCTCGCTTCCTACCTCCGTTCCCGGGGCTGTGGCGCCCCCAGCCCGGCGGTGTCTCAGCTTTCACTGTCCCCGGCGGACGGTGGCCGGGGGACGGAGCGGGTTTCCAGCCGGCGGAGTTAGGCCGCTACACGCCGGAAGTGGCAGCTGAGTGGGGGCGCTGAGGTGTCTGCCGGCGGGGCAGAGGCCCGGAGCAGTGGGCGGGGGCGTTGGTCATGTTTCCTTTCGGGCCCCATAGTCCTGGAGGGGACAGGTCGGCCGGAGCCTGGGCTGAGGAGCCAGCGCCCTATGAGGGGCAGGCAGCAGCCGCCAGGCCGCCCTCACCTCTACAGCCAGGGGCGGATGTGACCCCTCCTCATCCACCCGCCCGGAGCCCTCGCCGCCCCGGTGCCCCATCGCTGTCCCCGGCCCCACGCGCCGGAGAGCTCGAGCCGCCCGGAGTCCCGGAGTCCTCGGCTGCCTCCGCCCAGGGAGAGCCGTCACCTCCCTCCCCTCCGCGCCGGCGGCCCGGGCCAGACTGCAAGGCCGAGAGTCGGGGCCAGCACCGCCTCAGCGCGGGCATGGGCGGCCCTGGCGCCAGGCTGTTCGGGTGGCTGAAAGAGCGCAGCCTGGGGCGCGGGCTGTTCGTGGACCCAGCGCGGGACAATTTCCGCACCATGACTAGCCTCTATGGTTCCATCCACCCCGCGGACTCGGTGTACCTCAGCACCCGCACCCATGGCGCCGTCTTCAACCTCGAGTACTCGCCCGACGGGTAAGCGCGGCCCCTCGGAGGGCGGGCGCCCGCCTCCGCCTGGCTCTGCTGCCCGCGGATCGCCGCCCTGGCTCGCTCCTCTGGCTCGAGCTGAGGTTAGCGATGCCGCTTGGGGCCGCTGGCCTTCGTGCCGCCTGGCACTTTCTGAAGCGCATTCTCGCTCTCGGAACCCCCAGCCCAGCTTTCTGAGGCAGGCAGGCGGGACCCCACTTGCTCGCCTTCAGGACTTGGGCTCTGTGAAGGAGAAATGCCCGAAGCCACACAGCGGACCTGTCAGAGCCGGCCCACAACTAGGGCTTTCTGGTACACAGTAGGTGCTCAGTAAATACGTTTTGAATAAATGCCCACTTTCTCCCCATCATCCTAGGCTCGCGTTTTCCCACCTAAACCTGTGTTGGGGACAGGAAAGCTGTAGATTCCTTGCATTCTGTGCCTGAACTTGCCATGATGGGACAAGTGCATTCCTTTGCTCAAGGAAGATAGAGTACTAAGACCTTAGAGATGTGACTCTTATGATTTGGGCCATTTGTGAAGTCCCCAGACTAGACTACAGCCTTTTTCTTGGCTGATTAAATATTTCTTGTATGGCTTTGGTTTAATGGGAACTTTCCAAAATCATATCTATTTAAAACTTTGTCTTGTCAGTACACAAGTCAGCCATCAAAGAAAAAAAATTGCACAGTTCCACCATGAGGTGACATAGTTAATATAATTCTTACCCCATCAAAGGCGCTGGGTTCCTGGTTATTTACTCAGTTGTTCAGTCATTCATTCCCTCATTCCGCGTATATTTGTTGAGCACTTGCTATGTTCCAAATGCAGGAGTAACTGTGCCGAGCAAACCCTGCTAATGGCACTGTTTTCATTGAGCTTGGGACTTAGTGGTTCAACTAGATAGTAGATAGCCTTACTAAATAATGCGTAAAGTATATTGATAAATTGAGATAAAGTCTTTAAGGAACCTGTTATGGACTGTGGTATTCACGGATTCCCTGAGGAAGTGACATTTAAACCAAAATTTAAAAAATGAGTAGGAAATAAATTAGTCAAGATAGGACTGGGAAAGGGATAGAAGTATTTCAGAGGGGGATGATTGATATGTCAAAGGTCATATATCCATGGTAGTAGAAGGGCAGGATGTCACGTTAGAGAAGGTGAAAAAGAATAGGTTTACAAAGAAAAAAAAATTTTTTTTTTTTGAGATGGAGTCTCGCTCTTATTGCCCAGTCTGGAGTGCAGTGGCGTGATCTCGGCTCACTGCAATCTCCGCCTCCCAGGTTCAAGCCATTCTCCTGCCTCAGCCTCCTGAGTAGCTGGGATTACAGGCATCCGCCACCACTCCTGGATAATTTTGTATTTTTAGTAGAGATGGAGTTTCTCCGTGTTGGTAAGGCTGGTCTTGAACTCCCGACCTCAGGTGATTGGCCCTTCTCTGCCTCCCAGAGTGCTGGGATTACAGGTGTGAGCCACTGTGCCCGACCAGCAAAAAATTTTTACTAAAGAAAGACCTAAAGTTGCTAAGGAAGGAGCAAAGGAATAGAAGCAGGAATTACTGTGAGCAAATAGACGTATTCCATTTCACTGATGCAAGTGCTTCCTAATCACACGTGGTGCTGGCGTTTCTGGGGTTTCTTCTTAACAGCAATTGGTTGGAGCATGTAGCAGTGAATGCGCACCTCAGTAAGGTGGAAAACTGGTGAGAGGAGTAACTATTTTGCTGAAGCTTACTCATGGAACCTCGCCGCCTCCTTCCTTCAGCCAAGCCCTACTCCTAAAGTTTCCCTCAAAACACCAATAGTCTGTTCTCAAATATTCAGTTTCTCTCTTCATATCTTGGCCTCTCTCCTCCCAACCTCCCACCCATACAGGAATTCAGAAGTAGCTATTTCTACTTTTTGGATGTGGGATTTTAGGTAGAGGGTGGGAGGGGTAGAATGAGAAGAACAGATTTTAGAGCTGTTAGAATGAGGGACAGATTGCTTAAAGTTTGTGTTTGAATCTAGAATTCATTTTCTCATAACAGTGTTGTAAAAAGTAGTTAGATACTCTTGCACTTAAAACAGTTCAGGCTGGGCACGGTGGCTCATGCCTGTAATCCCAGCACTTTAGGAGGCCAAGGAGGGAGAATCACCTGAGTTCAAGACCAGCCTGGCCCAATATGGTGAAACCTCATCTTTAAAAAAAAAAAAAACAGTTCAATAATTTTAAATTGCACAATTAACGTATATGCTCATTGTGTAAAATCTAGGCAATAAATGAGCAAAAAATACCTAAACATCACTATGATCCCAGAGATTAAATGGATATCTAAGGAAATTTTTTCTTTGTGTATGTTAATTTTAATATAAACATGGAATCACTGTTTTGTAGCTTGCTTTTTTTCTTACAGTATATTGTGAACTGCTTATGCTAATAAATATATTTCTACAACATTATTTAACATTTTTTCATTAGTTTAAATAAACCCTCTTTGAACAAATATTTTGTATTTATATCTTTAGGATAAATCCCTAGAATGAGTTATTGTTATAAGATTTTTATACCTATTGTTAAATTGCCCTCTGCAAAGATTTGCTCTCTGCAAAGATAAGTAATTCTTATTACTATATTCTGATTCCTACATTCCAGACACATACAGAAGTGCCTGTCTCCTCATACCATTGGCAACACTGCATACTGCCATTCTATTTCATCTTTGTCAGGGTGATGAGTGAAAATACTTCAGTGTTTTAAGTTTTCAGTCTTCTTACTTCATCTAGTATGCCCTACATTTGTGTAGGACTTAAAGCAATTTTAGAGATAGATGACATATCTGTGTTAAAAGAGATAACTTCTCATATCCTTCTGTTAAATATGAGTTAAATCAGCTTACCAGGTAGCATAACCACTGTCACCTACAAGGACTTCTCAATACAGAAAAGGAGGGGTGACACTGAACGTAAGAATTAAAGTTGTGAATTTAATAGAGACCAGAATACAAGGAATTTGGTACTAAAAAATGATAAATGGACTAGAAGGTATTTTCTAAAGAATTCAGAAAATGTTTTAAGTGATAGAAACATTGCCAAAACAAGTGTATCACCTTCTAAAATGACATTTTGGAAAAGTAAAATTGATAACGTTTAGATTATAGCATGTCAGACCTTGTCAACCTGTTCTCCATGATAACACGTTAGGCACAGCTAGAGAGATAATTCACATATTGGAAAAAAGAAGCAAAGAAACTAACTAGAATACAGACCTGGAAAACACAGAGATTGGAAATATGAAAAGGAGATTTACTAACATAGAGCATAGAGAGAAAAAGCATACCATATTAGCCAGAGTTCCTGAATAGTCTCAGTTTCTTCAGGAACTCTGGCTAACTATATGGTACACTTATGCCATATAAGTGTATCATATGGTATAAGGGGGACTGTTTGAAGACATAATAGCTGAGAACTTTCCAGAATTGAAGGCACCAAGCCATGATTTAAGAAGCCTAACAAACCCAAGCAGGAATTCTTTCTAAACATATTGTAGTGAAACCTTGGGCCAATAAATATAAAATCTTAAAAGATAGAGAAAAAAGGCTTCAAGGGAGTAACTGTAAGAGTGATAGCCAATTAGTCATCAACCATAATATAAATCTAGAGACAGTGGTAATTCTTTTCAATATGCCAGGACAAAAACCTCAGTCTAGATTTATACCCAACAAAGATGGGTTATTTGTCCTTGCCAAGAACAAAGATGAAATAAATACATATTCAGGTAAGCAAAACTGATTAAGTTTGCAAGCAGACCTTCAACAAAGAAATTCTAAGTTTAGAGAGAAGGAAACTGTTTTCAAACGGAAGGTCTGAGATGCTAGGAAGAACAAAAAGTGTTAAATATGTATGTACATGTTAATCTGATAATGTCTTTTGAGATTAACAGAGATGGAACAAAAATAGAAGATAATAATAGCATATAAATTATGAGGTGAGATATGCCTGTAATCCCAAGCACTTTGGGAGGCCGTGGTGGCTGGATCACCTGAGGTTAGGAGTTTGAGACCAGCCTGACCAATGTGAAACCCCGTCTCTACTAAAAATAAAAAAATTAGCTGGGCGTGGTAGCTGGTGCCTGTAATCCCAGCTACTCGGGAGGCTGAGGCAGGAGAATCCCTTGAACCTGGGAGGCAGAGGTTGCAGTGAGCAGAGATCACATCACTGTACTCTAGCCTAGGCGACAGTGAGACTCCATTTCAAAATAAAAATAAATTATGAGGTGATATTCTAAGTTTTTGTATTTTTGGGGGGATATTTACATGTTAACTTTTGGTTTTAATAGGTATTTAAAAATTTCAAGGAACCAAAAGGCAAGAAAGATTATAATTTCCAGACTAGTACAAGAAAGAGTATGGAATGAGAAAAAAATTCCAAAAGAAGGCAAGAAAGAGAAATAAAAAAAGACAAGGTATGATAAATAAAAAGCACAAAGAATAGCTGAAAATAAATCAAAATATTACTAGTTACAATAACTGTAAGCTACTAAATATTCTAATTAAAAGACAAAGAGTAGCTCAGCAGAGTGGTTCATGCTTATAATCCCAGCATTTTGGGAGGCCAAGGCAGGCAGATTGCTTGAGCCCAGGAGTTTGAGACCAGCCTGGGCAACATAGGGAGACCCTGTCTCTACAAAAAAATACAAAAATTAGCCGGTTGTGGTGATGTGCCTCCTGAGGAGGATCATTTGAGCTCGGAAGGTGGAGGCTGCAGTGAGCCAGGATTGTGACACTGCATTCTAGCCTGAGCAACCGAGTGAGACCCTTCTTTCAAAAAATTAATTAAATAAAGAAAAGAACAGTACTTCTTTTTTTTTTTTGAGACGGAGTTTCACTCATGTTACCCAGGCTGGAGTGCAATGGGGCCATCTCGGCTCACCGCAACCTCCGCCTCCTGGGTTCAGGCAATTCTCCTGCCTCAGCCTCCTGAGTAGCTGGGATTACAGGCACACGCCACCATGCCCAGCTAATTTTT